GAGTCGTCTACGACTCGACGGCATTAAACAACAACAACAACAGCCTAAAATAAGCCAGGATATAGGAAATCATGTCCTATGATGTTTCAGGATACAGAAAATGACATCGTATGATGTTTCAGGATGCAGGAAATGTCATCTTATGTTTACAAGTGGAAACAAATGTTAAAACAAAAAAAAGTACATTTGAAATAGTACAGAGTATGACACCGGCACAGATAAGATGATGCTAAATGCATAATCACGAAAGATTAACTATTTGAGTTCATCCTTTATATTTGTCAAAATGTAAATTGCACTCAGAGGTTCAAAGGGGAGAAAAACAATAGAATTTATAAATACATACTTGGTTATCTCTTTTCAAATAAGATTTCAATGTAAAATCATGACTAGTAAGTTCCTATTTCCATTTTTTGAGTTTTTCTAGCTCTCAAACACATATCTCAGGAAGGGTATTCCCTGTCCTCCACTCCGTCCCCGCCCCCCCGCCCTTTAGTGTTAAGCATTTGAGGAGATTTGCAATGTTAATCTCCCAAACTCCTAAACAGGGCTTGAAGAAACTCCTGGAGAGTTTCTTTGTAATAAAGAACATCATTATCAAAGGGCTTGGTGAAACAGTGCAGCTAATTTGCCTTCATAACTTCATTCTGAGTTTGCACCAGGCTCCCTTGCTGAGAAACTTCTGCACAATTCTCCTCCCTTGGTCTTGCCCAGGGCATCAAGACGAACTGTCAGAGAGGGTATGTACTGAATAATGGATACGCCAGAGTCCCCTGATGGAACGTGGGCAGCTATAAAATATTTGTGATCACTTTTACAGTCAACCTCAGGGACAAGTAGAGAGAATATTATTTTAAACGCCAGGCTAACTACAATTGTGGAGATTTTCTGCATGCCTTTCTCTCATTAGTATTTAAAGCAATTATGGAAAGAATGGATCAGTCTACTATTCTGCCTGCACTAAGAAGATCATGTCTCACAACTGTATTTTAGGTATTGAAATTTAAATGAGTGTTCTCTTAAAAAAAGAAGAAGAAAATTCTGTTCGTAAAAGATACGCCAAGCAAATAAGAGCTCTTTACTCAAGCTGTAGTTCCAGTGTGGTCAATGTACTTCATTGCAAATCAGAAAGAACTAAATCAACAGGTAAAAGCAAATTACCTTTTACTCTGAAATGATTTTTTAAATTTATAATAATCCTAGTAGATGGCACGTATTTTATTTCCCAGCTCTGGTGGCCTAGTGGTAAGAAGGTGAGCTGCAATCCCAAAGTCACACAGTTTAAATCTACCAGCTGCTCTGTCAGAGAAAGATGGGCAATCTCCTCCCTCACAATTGGCCTCTGAAAACTCACTGGAGGGTCAGCTGTGGGGTGGTTTTGATTTGACCATACACAACACCAACAACCACCACCATGATATAGCTGCATGTAGCACTGAGGTAAATCAAACATACATGAATACTTGCACATTTACATGTACTAGCTCTCTGGGATGAACACAATTTCCATCATTTCAGATACATAACAACTGAAGTTCTGTCTTCACTAGGACATGACTGGGGTGAGCCCACTTGGATTGAAGCACACGCTAGGATATGCATAGAGTCATTGCATAATTGGCTGGCTGGAAAATTTATTTTTTCTTCTTATTTTAAAGTCAATACAATTGCATAATGACCAAAACCTTATTTATGAGTGCCAAGGGAAATAGAAGATAATGTTAACAGTTAAAGGGGAAAAATGACAGAATATCTTCCTAGGGGGTTAGGGGGGGAAAAAGTTTAAATGCATTAGCTTTCATTTTGCCAGTTTAATAGTTTCCACTCTCACTGGGGAAAAACATACAATAAATTTTGTTGCTGTTGTTTAAAGCAATAATCAAAGGCACATACCAGGATACACACCACTCCAATCTTCCTTTTTTTTTTTTTTTATTCAATGCCTCATATCTAAAACCCAAAGTAGAAAGAGGAACATACACAAAGACACATGTGCACACACACATAACGACAAATGCAGAGTTAGAGACTCAGTAGTTAAGTTCTGAAGACTAGTTTGATGTTACTAGGTACTGCTGAGTCAGCACTGACGCCTAGCTGGTCCTCCAGTGGAATTTCAGAGGCAGTAAATCACATGTGAGGAGATTGCCTGTCTTTCTCCTGCAGAAAAGCTGGTGGGTTTGAACCACAGTTTTTAAAACATGGAGCAAAACTCCTTACCACTAAGCCACCAGAGCTCCCTGAGAATGAGATAGGTGAAAACTGACGTGACGCAGGAATGAACGATGACAACATCAGATGACACAACAGGGAACTATGTTATTCTATAACTCCCAGATTAAGTCATTATATAATTGACAAACACCCTGACAAAATACATTTCACAACTTGTCAATCTCTGAGCATAATGACCCAGCCAAGTTAACACATAATCTTAATCATCACAGCCAGCATTACTTCTGCCTCCCACTTTAGCATTTGTTACTACAAACATCAATAATTAATACATGAAATAATCCATTTTTTACTATTACTGTAAAGGTCAAATGTCAGATAAAATGGTTGGTAAATGAGAAATAGATGTATATGATATTTAATAATAAATAGAGGTAAAGTTTGGAATTATGAAGTACAATGTTTTAAGAAAAGAGAACTTTAAACATAACTTTTATTTCCTATAACAGAATTAAGAAAATTCCAGTTACTCACCTAACCTCTCAATGGAATAATATCGCTGCTTACTGTCCACACGTACTGTCTCCGCATAAGGGCTGCCCACTCCGTAACCAATGATGTAGCCTCGAACAACAATGTTTGGGTTCAGGGGAGGAGTCCAGCTCATAATAATGCAGTTGGTCTGGGGCCTCACATGAAGGGAGCTTGGCTGGTCAGGAACTTGAGACTCTAGGGATAAAAAAAGGAAAAAGAAAAGAGGCAAATTAAGTATGTCCCCTAATAGACTGTGTAGTACAGCAACATTTCCCTTTTAAATAATTCTTATCATATTCCATGGATACTCAACTGAGATATCAGTTATTTCCTAAATACCTCATTTCAGTAGATGATGCATCTTCCAAGCATGAGTTTATTTCATCATCTCTTCAGCACAAAGGATACTGAATTGCTTCTAAGCTATTGCTTTTGCGTTCCATCAGTTCAAAGCTGACCCACAGCTGACCTTCCAATGAGTTTCCTGAGGCAGTTAATAGCATGGGAGGAGATCGCCAGTCCTTCTCTGTGAAACTGTCTCCATGGGCATTGTTAAATCCTACATCTTTCTATAATTATTTCTTTCCATGCTTTAGTACTTTTTCATCTTTCCCACATATTTCTTAATGTCTTGAGTCCGTTTCAACTCATTGCAACTGCCCATCAGGTTTCCACAAATTGTAACTGGAGTCTCCCTGGTTTTCTGTTGCAGAGCTTCTGAGGTTTTCCAACCAAAGACGCATGACCTTAGAATTAGTAACTCAACTCCTTACAGATTAAGCAAATAGTGCACCCTTATATTTATTGTTGTTGTTGGGTGTCACTGAATTGCGTATGACTCCAAATGACCCTATGAACAACAGAACTGAACCATGACCTTTCCTGTGCCATCCTCACAATCTGACACACTGGAGCCCATTGCTACAGTCACTGTGTCAATCCATCTGTTTGAGGGTCTTCCTCTTTTTTCTCGACTATCCACCTTTCTAAGCATGACAGCCCTCTTCAAAGAACAGCCACTCCTAGCAACATGTTCGAAGCAAGTGAGATGAAGCTCTGTTATTTTTTGCCTCCAAGGAGCACTCTGACTGCACTTGCTCCAAGACATAGCTGTTCTTTTGACAGTCCATGGGCTATTCAGTACTCTTCTCCAACATCACACTCAAAGTCATTAATTCCTCTATTATCTTTATTCCTTGCTAGCTCTCAAATGCATAGCAAGTACTTGAAAAGACCATGGTCTGAATCAGGTGCACTTTAGTCCTCAAACTGACATCACTGCTCCTCAATAATTTGGAGAAGTCACTAACAATGGATGCTCCCAGTGCAATATATCTCCTGATATCTTGACTGCTGGTACCAAGGCTGTTGATTGTGGACTCAAGTTAAGAAGAGGTTGTTTCTGTTTTCTTTCCATCTATCATGTTGCCTATTGGTCCAGTGGCAAGAATATTTCTTTTTTGGTATTGTTAATGAAAGGTAACATAAATACAGATGTAAGACTAATATAATACTGAATGAAATGTAAAAAAAAATGATCTTGCTTATTTCCAGACAAAAATAAATGCTAGCAAGGTTGTGGAGAGATGTGAACTCTTCTTCACTGATGGTGGAAATGTAAAATGCTACTGTCACTATGGAAGGCAGTCTGGCACTTTCTCCAAAAGTTGGAAATATAAATATTATTTGACCCAGCCATCCTGCTACTGAGAATATACCCTAAAGAAACCAGAGCTATGACTCATACAGATATAAAACAAACATATTTATTGCTGCATTATTCACAATGAAAAAGAGAAGGAGACAACCCAAATACTCATCAACAAATTAATTGATAGATAAACTATGGTATGGTCACACAATGGCATATTACACAGCATTGAAAAACAATTAACTCATGAAACATTACAAAATGTGGGAGAGCCAGGAGAACAATATGCTGAATGAACTACCTCAGTCACAAAAGGGCAAAGACTGTATAATACTGCTGTTAAAAATAGGACAGACATGGGGGTTGGGGAGAGAATGGGAAAAGATGGATAGATAATGAACACTGCATCAGATCAGATGAAGGGAAGAGCTGTCTGAAAGGAATAAATGATTAGGCACTATATGTATGATAACAGTCTGGAATAAGGGGTGAACTGTGGGGAGGGCTGAGAAGGAGAGGGAGGAAGAAAAGGTGCAACAATAAAAATAAATAATAATAAAACATGTTTTGTGTTAAAAACAATTTCTTGCTCAAATATTATTTACTCAAACTAGAAAGAAAATGAAATGTAGCAATTCTAAATAATAATACAATAATAAACAACTGTGGAAACAGTTCTTTTGTTTGTTTTTTATTAGTATTAAATTTTATTAATTTTCATGAACATTTACAGAGATTTTGGGTTTTCATTCATTCATGGAAACAGTTCTAAGTAAAGATTTTCACAACATAGTTAGGATGGTGACTCACCTATGGTTTAGGATGGTTTACAGCAATTGTGAAAAGTACATATATTATGGAAAAGAGATTGTAGATTAAAAACATATAGAATTTAGTGCTGTGAAAATGTGATCTAATTGCAAGCTCTTCATTTAACAGATGCCTGAAATCATACAATTATCTAACGTCTCTAAATTACCCTTCTAATTGAGTTGGCATTTTAAAGTTTATTAAAAAGTTAGAATTTGAGTTATAGAAGGAAAAAAGTTCAGATTTGTACTAATATTTACTGTTAGGCCTTCCTTCTCAAAATTCTACTTCTCTTACTTGTAGAATGAGGAATAAGTATTGAGAAGCTTTAGTGAGATAATGAATAATGGTATACTCATTAACCATAGTGCATGTATTCTCAAATTATCACATTCATTATGATGAGAAAGCACATAAATAACACTATGACATAATACTTTTTAAAGAAAGTTGTTGATTATTAATAATAAATTGATATCCTATCATTATAGCATTATTTCTACCCTTATTAACATATCTTTAAAAGAATGATCTTTTCTCTGATTATTCCATTAGCAATTAGAAAATATTCTAAATATTTATAGAATACCTATTACTTTTGGGAAACCTGCTATATTCAGGATATAGTGGAAAACTAGTACAGCAGACATGAAATTAGCACTCTTGAAATTTATAGTCTAATGGGAAAGATAATCAAATTTCTGTTATTGTTTTGAAGTAGCATTGAGTTGACTACAACTCACAGTTGTAGGAATCTTCCTATCCTTTCCTATCCTTACCACCTCTGACATGCTTGAGTCCACTATTAGAGTGAATGTGCTCTAGGTGTGTTATTAGAGGGCCAGTCCTAGGAAAAGACACCAGGTGTGAGCCCACTGTTTTATATTCCTTGGACATGTCATCTGAAAGGGTCATGTATAGAAAGGTCAGTGAAAGGGAGAACAGTCCTCCGACTGAAACAATAAAAAGTGAGTGCAAAAGAGTATGATGAATTCTTTTATAGTTTAAGATAGAGACATGAAGTTTATTCGTTGGGAAACAGGTACGTTTTCTGAAAGAGAAGGGTATAGGAGAGAATCGAAGCTTTAATAATTAGTTATACGCTTGGCTCACTGTTGAACAATTACGAATTACTCAAAAAGAATTAGTGACCTGAACCTTGTTAAAAGCATTTTTATCCCAAGAAAAAAATATCTGAGGGCAACACAGGGAAAATTATACAAGGGATTTTGAAGACCAAATGTAATCTTTCAAACATTTTTTTCTCCTTTATTTAACAGCAAAAGCTGAAGCAAGCCCATCACCAACCTTATTCATGTTCAATGTGCATACTTTTAGCCTTTTAGCTCAAATAATAGATGTAAGTATGTCTTTTTAGGAAGGGTTTAAAATAGCTACCAGATCAACAGATTTTTCTAAAGATGCTGTATTCTAAAGATGCTACTTTAACATCATTTTTCTAAAGATGTTGTTTTCTAAAAATGTCCCTTTGTGAGCAAAACCAGCACAAGCTATTTTATGCCTTGAAGAAGCCTATCACGCATTATACAAAGACATCCTAATACCAATAACAACAACAGAAGGACTTTAAAATATGGATGCAAATCTTAACATCAGAAGTATGTTACAAACTACAAACCCTTAGTAAAATTAGTAAGGAAGATGAAAGAGAGTGGCCCGTGTTTTCCAATCTTAGTACCACAGAAATTTCATCAGAATCATTGACATGTAATGGTCTGTATATGAACTCTGCTTAGTACATTTGAAGTTTTTGCAGTAACAACTGAAAAATAAATATAACCCTCCTGGCTCTAGAAGTAAATAAAAGAAACCGCATACTGTCTAGATTTTATAAATTTACAAGTTTTTACAAAAACAATATGCTCATTTAAAGCTGAATGGCAAAGCTTAGCATATTTTAAAAGAAATAGAAACACTAAGTATTTACTGAACATTAACTTTTATCCACTTTTTTCAGCAAATCACAATGCAGTTAGTTTCTCTACAATTTGGTTAAGTTGGTAGAAACAGAATAACATCCACTGGGGCCTTATGAGTAATATGGAAAAGAGTATACAATTAGACTCCCGAGGAAAAGGAACTATTAGTACACAAAGCCGACCTTAATCCTACTGTGCTTAAAAATAGCTTCAGTACTAAATCTAAACAATTGTAACATTTAAAAAAGTATGTATTAATTCATAAGAACACATTTCAACATCTAATCGGGAGCCCTTGTTGCGTATTTCATAGAGTGGCACTGTTAATCCACAGACATTATCTCTCCAACAATTCAAACTCATCAGCGGCTCCATGGGAGAGAAAATGGACAGTTTCCCCTTCATGTAGTTTTTATAGTCTCCAACGGCCCACTGGAGGGTCAGTTATTGCTCAGTTCTGACTTCAAGGCAATTAGTTTGAAAAATTTTAGTTAGCATCGAATTAGTGTCACTGAGCTTGAAAGAAGGATGCCTTAGATGTATGTAACTTACAACTAATGAGTTGATTATGACTTCTGGTAGCCTCGCCCACAGGGAGCTGCCCTGACAACTCAAAGCAGCAGCTTTCCTGAAGTTCAAACTCATCAGAGCCTCCAAAGGAGAAAAATGGGCAATATCCTCCCATAAACCCAGTGGAGGGTCAGTTAAGAGTCAGTTTAGCTTCAAAACTGGATGAAATATGTTTACGACATTGAGGTCTATGGGGGAGAGAATAGTTTAAAAGTATTATATTT